AGGATCAAAAGAAATCCTCCTTAGCAGTGGAATGGTGGATGTCAAATCGTCGCGCATTAATGTCAAGTTGAATGACGCAAATATATTTCGAGAGCCGCTGGACATAACGATTAAAGTATAAAATTTAAATAATACAACGTAAAAAATTCTTCTAGAGAGATATAGAGTCCCAGTCTGAATCACTAAATTCACTGTATTAAGAAAGAGGCAAAAAGGAAAATACAGTTTTGCAAAGACTTGTCGAAAAGTGCACTACACCATCCTCGCAAAACGTGAGTATGAAGGCATCATTTTGATAAGTTTGCATTAAGCTATTTTCTTACGTCAACTGAGTATGCCACTGCAGAAAAATGGACTTTTCAAAAGAGGGCGGCCTTGTTTATTAACCTGCAATTTTGCCATCTTCGAGAAGATGATCGATAAGTAAGCAAGCTGAGTGCTCATTCAGGAAAATCCCATAGTTGATCTGAAAGACAGTGAAATCAGAAGGAAATATAACGAATAAAAGGAAAGCATAACATTCCGCTTTGCAAAACCATGCGAAATCTTAGTGCGCAAAACTATGTAACTGTTTTATGAAGCCATTTGAAATTTGTACTCCGAAAATTTACGCAAATCACATAAATTAATTTGCCACAAATACCAATGCGTGCCAGGAAAACAGCGTAGCGATGCGATTTTCGGGCAATCTTATCTTGGGGATTGAAACTTGCAAACATGCTTTAAGTACAAAATTCACGATTCGCAACACATACGTAAATCCGGTTTCCATTACAAGGTCACAGCCCGAGAACTAAGTGAAATTAAAAAGCTAACGTTAAACTCCAATTCATTTACAAGGCCAGTGACAAAACCTCCAAAATTTCGTTTTTCCAGCTAACCCGATCACGGGAAGTGAAAATATGACACGCACATACATACATACATACATATATACATATATATATACATACATACATACACACATATACATACATGCTTACACATAAAAGAATATACACAGACATGATTTCTTCATTATGCGTTTTTATAGTTGTGCGAGCTCAAAAACGCATGAGAACTTAATAAAATGCGCAATAACTTTGTAAAATTACACGACAATTCCAGAAAACCTATAAAACTGTGTAATTTTGTACAGCTATTCATCCGCGCTCCCGATAATTTTATCTTAGCAACCATAATATGAACTAGTTAATGCATCGATAAAAAAAAAAAAAAAACAATGAGACGTACAGGATCTGCAAGAACGGCAAGAAGGGTATCAATAGCGCGATGCTTGAGCAGTAGCCGAACGAGAGCATATTCGGTTGATGGGAGCATTTGGCAGGTGCTCTCGCTATGGCGCAATCTGTAGACGATTTTTAGCACATCATCCACCTGGTCAAACTCTTCCGCCATACAAATGGCTGCATCAGCGTCCACTGCA